ATAGGTAGATGGATAGATGGATAGATGGATAGATGGATAGATGGACAGATGGACAGATGGATGGACAGATGGATGGACAGATGGATGGGCAGATGGATGGACAGATGGATGGGCAGATGGATGGACAGATGGATGGACAGATGGATGGACAGATGGATGGACAGATGGATGGACAGATGGATGGACAGATGGATGGACAGATGGAGATTAGATAGATTAGATAGATTAGATAGATAGATAGATAGATTAGATAGAGATAGATTAGATAGATTAGATAGAGTAGATAGATGAGATAGGTTAGGTAGATAGAGATTAGGTAGATTAGATAGATTAGATAGATTAGATAGATTAGATAGATTTAGATAGGTTAGATAGATTAGATACATTAGATAGATTAGATAGATTAGATAGATTAGATAGATTCGATAGATTCGATAGATTGATAGATTCGATAGATTCGATAGATCCGATAGATTGGATAGATTGGATAGATTGGATAGATTGGATAGATAGATAGATAGATAGATAGATAGATAGATAGATAGGATTAGATAGATAGATAGATAGATAGATAGATGGATGGATAGATAGATAGATAGATAGATTAGGTAGATAGATAGATAGATAGATAGGTAGGTAGGTAGATAGGTAGATACATAGATAGGTAGATAGATAGATAGATAGATAGGTAGATAGATTAGATAGATTAGATAGAGATTAGATAGATTAGACAGGATAGATAGATAGATAGATTAGATAGATTAGATAGATTAGATAGATTAGATAGATTAGATAGATTAGATAGATTAGATAGATTAGATAGATTAGATACATTAGATAGATTAGATAGATTAGATAGATTAGATCGATTAGATCGATTAGATAGATTAGATAGATTAGATAGATTGGATAGATTAGATAGATTAGATAGATTAGATAGATTGGAAAGATTAGATAGATTAGATAGATTAGATTGATTAGATAGATTAGATAGATTAGATAGATTAGATCGATTAGATAGATTAGATGAATTAGATAGATTAGATGGATTAGATAGGTTAGATAGATTAGATAGATTAGATAGATTAGATAGATTGGATAGATTAGATAGATTAGATAGATTAGATAGATTAGATAGATTAGATAGATTAGATAGATTAGATAGATTAGATAGATTAGATTAGATAGATTAGATAGATTAGATAGATTAGATAGATTAGATAGATTAGATAGATTAGATCGATTAGATCGATTAGATCGATTAGATAGATTAGATGGATTAGATAGATTAGATGGATTAGATAGGTTAGATAGATTAGATAGATTAGATAGATTAGATGGATTAGATAGATTGGATAGATTAGATAGATTAGATAGATTAGATAGATTGGATAGATTAGATAGATTAGATAGATTAGATAGATTAGATAGATTAGATAGATTAGATAGATTAGATCGATTAGATAGATTAGATAGATTAGATAGATTAGATAGATTAGATAGATTAGATAGATTAGATAGATTAGATAGATTAGATAGATTAGAGTAGAGTACAGTAGAGTAGAGTAGAGTAGGGTAGGGTAGGGTAGAGTAGAGTAGAGTAGATTAGATAGATAGATAGATAGTACATAGATAGATAGTTCGATCGATAGATAGATAGATAGATAGATGAGATGGGTGGATGGATAGATAGATAGATAGATAGAATAGATGGATGGATGGATAGATAGTTAGATAGTTAGATAGACAGATAGACAGATGAGAGAGAGAGATAGATAGATAGATAGATAGATAGATAGAGAGAAAGATAGATAGATAGATAGATCGATCGATCGATAGATAGATCGATCGATAGATAGATCGGTAGGTAGGTAGGTAGATAATCAGAGAAAGAGAGAAAGAGAGAGAAAGAGGCTTCGCTCTGCCATCCGTGATTCACAACAACCAAACTCTCCTATAGGTTTCCTATTTTTGAAACTTCCGCCACAACCTTGTGCGGTACTACTGGTACGTATCTAATCACAATAGAATTTCCATGCGTCTTTATTCTAATCCGATCCCAACATATTGATCATGTTTTGCGGATCAACATGTATGTCAGCGCGTAAGGATACTAAGGATGCTAAGGATACTAAGGATACTAATATATGATATGCGCAAGATGCGTACACATGTCTAATGCTTCCTGCTCCAGCAGCCTCGATGCAGCACACAAATATACACAGGCAGCACCACACAGCAGTATCGAAAGGATTTGGTGCCAAACCATACAGTCAACAATGTCAACGATGTCCGGGTTCTCGTGTACAGGAGAATCCAGACAGAAACTGCCAACATCGTCCACAACCAACAACACGTCTGCGCACAGTATTTGTATGAGTAATATAGCCTGTCACAGACCCAGAATGTTTTGTTTTTTCTTGTAAAGAAAGGAGGTGGAACTGCCTCAGGCAAAGCATCCATTCTAAGGGTATTGCTGTTGATTGCCAAGATCTTTGCCATCTGTTGCTGCGCCGAGGTAGTTTGAACTCAGGTAGAATGATCATGGCAAGGAGCAAAAAGGAAGTGCAGACACATACAAAAACAAGATGCAGCCCACGAACCCGAATGCTCACACGTATGTATGTTAATGGTACAGATGTCGAAACACATGGATATGCAGTCACGCAGAACACTTTTCTGCAATAGTTTATTTGGACAGTCTTATACATATTTCCCCTGTTACCAGTCTGCGGTGTGGAGTGGAAAGTGTAGAGTGTGGAGTGCGGAGTGGAAAGTGTGGGGTGTGGAGTGTAAAGTAAGGAGTGTGGAGTGTAAAGTGTGGAGTCGGGAGTGTAGAGTGTGTAAAGTGTAGAGTGCGGAGTGTGGAGTGTAGAGTGTAAAGTGTAGAGTGTAAAGTGTAGAGTGTGGAGTGTGGAGTGTAAAGTGTGGTGTGTAAAGTGTGGAGTGCGGAGTGTAGAGTGGAAAGTGTAGAGTGTGGAGTGTGGAGTGTGGAGTGCGGAGTGTAAAGTAAGGAGTGTGGAGTGTAAAGTGTAGAGTGTGGAGTGTAGAGTGTGGAGTGTGCAGTGTAGAGTCTAAAGTGTAGAGTGTAAAGTGTAGAGTGTGGAGTGTGGAGTGTAAAGTGTAGAGTGTGGAGTGTGGAATGTAAAGTGTTGAGTGCAAAGTGTAGAGTGTAAAGTGTAGAGTGTGGAGTGTGGAGTGTAAAGTGTAGAGTGTGGAGTGTGGAGTGTAAAGTGTGGAGTGTGGAGTGTGGCCACGTCTTCCACGCAAAACGACATGACAACCTGCTTGGAAACCTTCGTGTGAAGTGTAAAGTGTGAGTGTGGAGTGTGGAGTGGAAAGTGTAGAGTGTGGAGTGGGGAAAGTGTAGAGTGTGGAGTGTGGTGTGTAGAGTGTGGAGTGTGGAGTGTAGAGTGTCGAGTGTGGAGTGTGGAGTGTAAAGTGTAGAGCGTGGAGTGTGGAATGTAAAGTGTAGAGTGTAAAGTGTGGAGTTTAAAATGTAAAGTGTGGAGTGTAGTGTAGAGTGTAAAGTGTAGAGTGTAAAGTGTAGAGTGTGGAGTGTGGAGTGTAAAGTGTAGAGTGTGGAGTGTGGAGTGTGGCCACGCCTTCCACACAAAACGACATGACAACCTGCTTGGAAACCTGCATGTGAAGTGTAAAGTGTGGAGTGGAAAGTGTAGAGTGTGGATTGTGGAGTGTAAAGTAAGGAGTGTGGAGTGTAAAGTGTGGAGTGGAGAGTGTAGAGTGTGTAAAGTGTCGAGTGTGGAGTGTAGAGTATAAAGTGTAGAGTATAAAGTGTAGAGTGTAAAGTGTAGAGTGTGGAGTGCAAAATGTGGAGTGTAAAGTGTGGAGTGTGGAGTGTAGAGTGGAAAGTGTAGAGTGTGGAGTGTGGAGTGCGGAGTGCAAAGTAAGGAGTGTGGAGTGTAAAGTGTGGGGTGCTGAGTGTGGAGTGTAAAGTGTGGAGTGTAGAGTGTGGAGTGTGGAGTGTAGAGTGTAAAGTGTAGAGTGTAAAGTGTGGAGTGTGGAATGTAAAGTGTAGAGTGTGGAGTGTGGAGTGTGTAGTGTAGAGTGTGGAGTGTGGAGTGTGGAGTGAGGAGTGTAGTGAGGAGTGTAGAGTGTGCAGTGTGATGTGTAAAATGTAAAGTGTGGAGTGTAGAGTGTTGAGTGTAAAGTGTAGTGTAAAGTGTAGAGTGTGGAGTGTGGAGTGTAAAGTGTAGAGTGTGGAGTGTGGAGTGTGGCTATGTCTGCCACGCAAAACCACATGACAACCTGCTTGGAAACCTGCGCAAAGGAGAGGTTTTGCAGCTGCCCCCATAGACACGGAATTAACGACCCGACGACGACCCGACGAGACACTCGAGGCGAACAAGGGTCCAGCCCCCAGACCCCCAGACTATAAACGGGAACCCTTCGCTGCCTTCGCTACGCATCCGGGAAAAAGTATCAGAGTGTATAATATAGCAATTAAGCGTTTCTTTCCACCAGTCAGAGATGTGCCGATAAATACCCTTTACTTCAATTTTGAATGCAGAGTTGCTAGCACTGCCGTGATTTCTCTCAGAATGAACCCACACGTCTGACTCGTTGCTGCAGGCAACGGTACACACCTGAAAAAGGACAACTGCAATCAGTTCGCAGGAAGGCGATCAGTTTGAACGGAGCCCAATTTCTTTTTGTTCAAATTTGCCCAGATGTGTAAAGCTCCGTGTCAGCTGGCTTTGCGTCGGGAGCAGTTAAACTTGATGCAAAATTGGAAAAGACAAAAGGCAATGTTCAGATTGATCACAGCATTTGGGTTGGAATTGAATTTGGGATACCACGGGCAACCCAAGGTTTCAGCACTAGGACTTGCGGGCAAGAGAGTCTTTGACACCTTTGACATTAAAATATTTACTTTACAATATCTTATTGAGTCTTAGTGTGTTCGCAAAATTTAGTCCCTCGACATGTCTGGACCATCTGGACCCATGATTGCCATGTTTATTGCTGTCTCTGGGCACTGCAAAGAGCAAGGTCGCGATCGAGTTCTTCCAGCTCCAACTCAAAAAATGGGTCGTGAAAGCCTGAACAGGACGAAGAACCGAATCACAAAGGACCAAAAACAAAAACAATGGATCCTTATGAGTCCTTATGTTATCTGACTTTATCCTATCTTCTCATTCTTTTTTTTTCTATATGTTTTTCTTGAGCATATATAGACAGGAAGGCGTAGCTGGTTTAGTCATGCTTAGTCCAACGCACACAGACGTACAGGCTTGAGCTGGGCAATTCAGTCTTGGTTCACATAGGGTGTAAAACTAGTGCTCGTGCCAAGAAGCGGATCCCTCATGTTCCATCATTGAGGCGCTATCTCTTCTAAGCCAATGGTCAGTGCTTCGGAATATTCGATGCAACTCTGAGGTGGAATGGATTCTGTTTCTGCTATTAAAACAATTCCATCCTACGTATGCCCCACATGCCAGACCCCTCATGCTATACTCAGCTGGGTTGCGAGTGCATCAGACAGACTTGAAGTGCCAAAAAAATAAAGAGTTCACGACCTTCACTCAAGTTTTTCCCCTGGCAAATTAAATCTGCTGCTGCTCTGACGTGTTTCCCATCTGAGATTCCGATGTTCTGCTCTCTAGGAGCTTCCTTTATTTTCTCCAGTTCTCATCCCTCATGGTTTCTTTGTCCCGTTCCGCATGTGGTTGCAAATGTTGGTTTTCGGGTCTATACTGAGCCGAGCCAAGATTGATCATTTCCGACCATGTGGCAAGACATACCTGTCCAACTATCACAAACACCCACCCTCAGGCCATTTACTAAACTATTGATGTGGGAAAAGCATTGGCTCTCAACTAGATTGAAAACACATGCACATATTGTCCTTCGGAACTGCAGCCAGGTGGCTTGACTTGTCTACTTGCGCCTTGGTGCATTCCTCCTGAGGCAGAAGATTGTTTCAAATCAATGTATATGTGCTACTTGTACCCGAAATATTCTGTACTTTACTACGTTATTACGTTACAGTACTTTGTACTGCTTCGTACGACATATGTATACAGTATACACTCCAAGCGCTGGGGACAATATTTCTTCTTGGTGTCTTATTCATCAATTCGGCACAAACAACAATATAATATTAATAATATGTGCAGCTCATGTCCGCAGACAACGACAAATGAAAGCAACACAGTTAGTCAGCTTCATTTTCAGTCCTTGGCAGTTTCCAGATCATTCTTGGCTTGGCCAAGTTGCTCCTACAGGAAGCGAATCCTGTGCTACGAATCGATGCTACTCATTGCAATTATGCATATTGGAATGATATCCAACGATTTCTGTGTCGAACCGAAAGGCTTCTGTTCAACCATTGTGGCATATTTAATATAGCAACTTTTCACCCAAAGTCCCCAAAAACGAATGTACCCTCCATTGAGTTTGGCCACAGCCGGCTCAGTCCTGCAGATTTTCCACTTGCCCCTTCAACAATCGCACTTCCTGTGCTTGGGTATGAGGGCAACAAGCAGCAAGAAATGCATTGAAGAACTGTGAATTTTTAAACCTGCAGATACTGGTACCTACAGTAGTAGGACATTCCTGGCAACAAGACTTTCTTCTTTGGCCGCTCTCTTCCTGTTCAGCCATCTAACCAGACAGATTTCTTTCAACCCAAATCTCTTAAGTATGGCTAGCTATTTGAACCTCAAAGAAGTAACCCACTGTCCCCACTGGAGCTCCCAAAACACCTGCTCTTTTGTCGGTGTCACCTACTGAGTCCTACTGTAATTTTTTTTGATCCCTCATGCGACTCATGTGACTCGCAAGTGACTCAGTCAACTCGTGTAGTCCGTTTCAGTCCGTGCAGTTGTCCATGCCATCTGTGTTATCGACGCCTTGGAATAGTTTGACTTCAGAGCCCCTTCAGACATTTTGGCCTCCTTGGGCGACACATCAGCAATGCGACAAAATATCATAAAATATCATAAGAAATCACAAGATATGACATGTACATAACGAATCCTTTTGAATGTGAATCCAACATAGTAAGCAATCCAGGTGCCAACAACTTTGCAAAAGCCACTTGGGCTCAATCCAGGTTGGCAAAGTCTCGAGGTTTGGGATTCTTGCCTTGAATCAAGTTGTTGACTTGTCTATAGTTCCACAAAAAGTGCTAACTATACATGCTATACATATATATATATATATGTGTGTGTGTGTGTGTTCCCGTAACAATCGAAAATAGCATTGCGTTAATGCTCAAACAAAGGCCAAGAATAAGCAGCACCATCCTTTTCTTCGTACGCTAGGATGGTGCCTGTGCGGCTGCCACTTCAGGTATGTGACCTATGTCACCAGTGGTCAGTTAGACCACCTGCCATACACTTGGCAAACTGGGTGGTTCACTTGGTTGCGGAGAAGGACACGTTGGTTATTGGGCACCAGGTCGGAGTAGGAGACCTCCGTGTTGATCTGCGGCTGCTTGAGGGGGATGGAGAAGTCAGCCACATTTATGGACGCCGCAGCCTTCATGTTGGCCTCCTGTTCTTCATCCGGAGTCTCCCCTTCCTTCGGTTGGATTTTCCACGTGACCCCCTTGTCCGTGATCATGAGTCTCCAGGTGGCTCCATCCACCTCCTGAGTCATGCCCATGTCCTTCATCTTGTGCATGCGGGAGCCAATCTTGCCGCAAGCCAAGCACTTGCCCTCCGATTGCTGCTTGAGCCATGGGGACGTGCAGGATGAAACCTGAGATCTCAGGGCCTGCCTCCAGGTTGTAGATCGTCGTGGCGTTGACGTCCTCCGCCGAAAGGATCTTTTCGTGCTGCAACTTCTTGATCGCCAGTCCATAGCTCTCAAGGATCCGGTGGAAAGCGGACGAAGTGAGGGCCTCAAGGTCGCCAAAGATGGACAGAAGGTCCCGAAGGTCGCCCAAGGTGAAGTCTCGGAGCATGTTCCTGATATTGCCCGGGACCAGAGGAAGCTCCTGGCCGCCATTGGTGATCCGGTAGGTGTCGACAGTGACCTTCTCAAAGTCCACCAGGACCTTAGTGTCGCTCCCCGTTTCCTGGCCGCTACCAGCTGGCCCAGGTTGGGTACTGGCACCTTGGTCCACAGGTTGGTCCTTAGTGGCCAGCTGTTGCATGGCCGCAGTCAGTTCAGCAAGAAACTTCTGGAGGTCCACCTTAGTGGTATTCTGAAGCATTGCGTGGTCATCCAGGGGCGCCCCCGAGAGAGTAAGGCTGGCCGCATCTTCCTCGTTCTTGTGGGTCTCCGCAACTTGCTCCGCCATCTGGTAATCCTCGGTGGTGATCTCAATGAGTTGGTCCACCAGTTGGAAGCTGCCCTCAGACAGCATCTCGGAGTCCAAGGTTGATGGGGGGACGTCCACCTCCATCACGTCATCCATCCCAGCGGCAGCAAAGGACTTAGGGGCCATAGCTGAAAAGCAAAGCGTAAAGGCGAGGGTAAGAGAGCGAACTTCAAACTTTCCAAAATCTGTTGACACAAAGCTTGAGCCAAAATGGCCAGGCCATTTTGGCAATATGATTCCGACAACACATTGCTTGCTTTCCGCAAGCTCCACGCAAGTACAAAATATATATATATACATAAACATATCCTCTACATATGGAGTCAGAAAGTCCCATGCTGGAAGAGTGTTTGGCGTGCCCCCAAACGTCACCTGTGCTACTTCCTTCGTATCTCCTTTCCCTGGCCTTTCCCTCCTTCCATATCTTCCATATCTTCCGTATTAAGAATTGGTTCGACTTTGTCTTGATGCCCTTTTTCGGTTGCCTCCACGGCCTTCTGCAAGTTTTGCCTTTCGCGCTCTCGGTGCTCGTCGTTAGGTCGAGCTTCACAGAATGCCTCCACGGCCTGTGAACGTGGCTGTGCAAGACTCGATGAGACTGTCCAAAGGCGGGGATCTGCAATTGGTGCATTCAACTTGCGATTCCCTGAACCACACAAAAATTGCATTGGCGCACTGCCTTAGCAGGAGAACTTTCATTCGGCTGAGTCAACTTGCTGAATCGGGGCAAGCTGCTGAACCGGACTGTGTCCCTGAGTGCGTCCCTGAGTCACTGAGTCAACCGTCCACCTGCTTTTCGTTTATTCTGGCATGTTAAAGCTTTAAGAACGTTGGCCATTGACCCCGGAAATCAAGCTGCGTCCATGTTGGAGCTTCAAAATCTGACACAGAAGTCTCCCTCGCTGTGGTCGTTCGCTATGACTAGCTGGCTAGTCCCGGCTAGTCTGTGTTGAAGACCCTTGCAGCGCAGCCTGCTTCAAGGCAATATTTGGCTGCAGAGTGCGGCTGCTCAGCGGAAGCTGGGTCATAGGTGCCAGCAGGTTGGGTGGCATCTTCCTCACAACAGCAAATGTTCAGCTTTCAATGAACACACTCTCTTGCAGAATTGGTTATTCATTCATCCTTTGTAAGCCCCAAGGGCTGCAAGATTGACCGAGGAAACTGTTGTCTTCATAAATACTGTGTTCAATGGTTTCTATTCCCCTCAGTCTGTCGGACACATCTCAAAGAAGCAACCAGCAATCGGACAGTTGTCAACAGCTGAATGTCATAGAAATGCCACAGTGAAACATTCAGCTGTATGTCTATGTTTGCCTAACAAGCCTTCCCAGTATGTTGCTTTTGACACTTCCACAGAATCATGCCAGGGGCAATCAAATAGCTGTAATTCATGTCCAGCCTTTGGTTTGTGCATAATGCGCATGGTTGCGATATGTTGCAATGTGTAGTGTATGTACATTACAAGTGCTTTATGCAACTTATGTTTGTCCCATATGCAACGCAAATTTGGGCCTGCTGTGCGGCGCTATGTTGCCAGGCACGCGGTAGAATTCGGTCACCCTGCACACAAAGCAGCTTGAGCGGCCTTGTGAATTCAAAAGATGCTCTGTCAAAAACTCAAACATAACATACTTACTTTATAACTCTATATATATAACATACCTCCTATAACAATGCCAAAGCCAAGACACTTGGAGGGGCAGGGAACTAAGTCTTGGTGTATTGGGGTCATTGAAGCACAAGTCCAGTTGAAGTGATCATGGGCATGCTGCCAATGCAAATGAAAGAGATTGAGTGGGGTAGACGCAACAGCCCTGGTCAAAACATGCTTGACTGAGATCGAAGAAACATGCCATCCAAACAGGAAAGACCGCAAAGACCACAACTCACGACACCCACCTTGTTTCATGCACCTTGAACCACTCTTGAATACAGCCCCGACAATAGGAGTGGCCATCCTCCGTGAAGACAGGATCCTGCCAACAGCAAGATGACATTGCGGGTCAGCCATCACGCGAGTAATCACTCATGGCAGAAGGGTGGAGAATGGGTAGAGGCTTGTGGAAGAGTTTGTGTCATTGATTTTGCAAATGTGACAAGTGGTGACAAGCTCCTTGAAAATCTCCCGGCAGATAACGCACTGTAGTCCATGTGGAATGGGAAGCCTTGAAAATACACACGCTCTGGACCAAGCCCTATCGCAAGCAATTCTATGGAAGTTTTACGAGTCTTACAGTACGTTCAGACCTTCAGCGGGCCACTGCGTGCCACTGGTGACAATGGACGAAGCTGCCAAGTTGCAATTGCTCGTCAAATGACGCAGGTCTCTGCTTTGCCTCACTCAAAAACTAAAACCAAGATAAGCAAACATCCTCTTGTGCAGGCCTTCGCCAGTTGTCTTCACAGGGACACATATTCTTTTGGCCAGCTAGACAGAGTCGGGTACCCAACTGAGGCCAGCTATGGCAGAGGTACATGTAGCAACTCGATAATTGGCAAGCCTTCGGTGTGACTATCCAAGATGAATTGTTATAGACTCTGAGTATTGTCGACTTCTTTACAATTGACGAAGTTCTCAAACATTGTTGACGCAGCGCTTGTTTCCAGTTCCTGACGGAAATCAAACCACATTAAAACCCTGCCCACTGCCACAGCCATGAATATGTCCCCCATTTTCGTCAATTTGTTCAAATTCAAACCATCATCGAATCAATACAAATGAACATTTTGATCTCTTTGGAAAAGCCACCTTAACTGCTGTCTTGACTTTGGTCCTTGGAGCAACTTTTGCCTTTGCCTCGCAGAGCAACTACCGCACCAAGCAAAGCTGAGGGGACGCACAGACGAGGCAAATGGAAATGCCTATGGATTTGAGGAATTGCATAAACTTGGTTTGAATCGTTTATAAACGTTTGTATGTAAATATATTATATATATAAATGAAATGCCTTGCCGTTCTCCGTTCTGATGGAGTGTCATGGAGGAAACATCGCGCCTGGTTCGTTCCCACTGTCGGGGCCGAGCGCGTGTTTGTCAAATTCCTTGCACTTGCCTGGCTTTGGAAGAAAATAAAATGTTTGGACTATTCTAGTTGTTCCTCGTTGTTTTGGAGATTTCCGAGGTAGAAATGATAGAAACACATACTTTTCAAGTCTAGTCCAGCATAGTCCAGCTATGTACCTGACGGCATATGAATATTGTGGGTACATTTTGTGTACCAGCGTTACATCTGGACAGGGTTAGGACATGATTTTTTCTGATGCTAAAGCATGACCCTTCATCTGACGATGCAACAACAAACCGTGACAAAATTCGAACAACTGTCCAGATCTTGTGCTCTTGTGTGGAATCATACCCCTGACTATATGCATAAAATCGTTGAGTACCTTAACTGCCAACATTGAAAAACGTTTTGAAGCGCTGAATCCGATGTTCTGTTGCAGTTCTTCCAGCTCATTCTGCTCCTTATGTGGCGGCCATTCCCCGGCATGCCTGACTTCTATCTGCGCTCCTTGACATGTGCGAAATTCCACTGCCTCTGAACAGTACCAAAAGCGGCGGCAAAACCACTTGCATGTGGCAACAGGTGTGATAGTGATCGCCTGTGGCACCCCCTCCCTTTGTTGAATAAGATGAATCCAAAAAAAAATATTAAATACACTCATTGGTTGGCCTATGTTGGCCTGTTTGTTGTAGAAACCCATTTTGCTACATGATTCATCAATATTCATCATGGCATTTGTGTCTGTGTGCATATCGCGTGAATGACTGCGATAGGCAATGCATCGGACCTGCTGCAGCGGGAGCTGTCAACCCTCCGTTCCTAGAGATTCCTACGGTGCGACAATTTCGAAAGAGTGTTGCCAGTGCATTGCCAAAGTAGTATTGCAAGTACCACATCTTGGATCTTGACGAGTACCAACCTGCCACCCAAGAACTTGACTGTCTGCCACAAATGGCCCGGCGGCAGCAGAAAATGGCAATCCAAGAAATCCAAGAACACATATACTTTTTGGAGTCGCTTAGCAATCAAACCGATTGAATTCCGCCGGCCAACCTTCAAGTTGGAATAAGTTGGACCTACAAAGGACTTTTCTGTGGTGGATTCATTCTCTTTTAACGCTGAATGGCAGCGGCAATTCCCAACAGATAAGATTGAAAATTTGACAAGGAAACACGGAAAGTAAGCGGCCAAGATGGAGAGTGGAAGAGGTTATATAGGTGGCATGTCATACCAACCAATGATGATGACGCTCGGGTGGCATTGTTGCAATGACCAATATGGTTGGTAAATACAGCCGGCAATGCACGCGTGGTTCAGCGTTGGATGTGAACAAATTGGATTGGAGGCCTACATTGGGAATTCAATATGATTGGGGGAAGAGGATTGAGATATCCAATTATATAAGTGGATTTTATGGAAACGCTTGGGTACTACTTTACCTAGAAACAAAGTGTAATAATTTGGTGAGTTTATCGGGATCATTATGGTATGTATAGTCGGCATGGAATTTACTTGGCAGTCACCGCAAAACTTGAAAGCAAGAATGGCTATGATATATTAGGAATTGCCATAACCTGGAACGGGTCTTGGCCCAACATGTCCCAAAATGCGAGCCACTGTCACCTATCATGTTAATTAACCATTTCAACCCTTGGTTAACCAGTGGTTTGGATCCTTTTGGAGGAGAGGTGGGTTTCCTGTACCAATCCTTCGCCATTGTTTCACTTCACCCGCGGTTCATAATCTCTGTGCCAACGAATTGGTTCAAGGGAAAACTGTTTTCTTTTGCTGTTTTGCCATCAAAGACAGGGGGGTTCCGTGAATTTGTTCCGGCCAATTCTGGTGGCAAAACCCAACGGTATGCGGATTTTCCTTGAGTTGAAAGCGCCTCAAAAGTCTCACCATGTTACACTGCTCGATTTGTGCAGTGTCAAGTGACAAACATGACTGCTATGGCATGTACATGTACTGATGCAAGGTGCGTTACATTTCTGCACCCCGCCTCAGACTGTATTTTTAATACTAGTCTGCACATCCCTAGCCTAACCCCTTAGGACTGTTGGTAGTCCGTCTAGTCTCTTCTATTGGGGTATCTCTGCGCCTAAAAATTGCACTGGATCCCACAAATGGTTTTTAGCCTAACCACTTGTGGAACCGCTTCTGTGGTGCTGCCTAGTCCCGCTCAGAATCCTCTCAGAATTCCATGAGACCATCTCTGCTTCCCATTGCATCATCTCCGTCATCACTTGGATCCGGTGGTCCATAGTGAATTGTGGCCCATAGGTCTGGGTCTGACACTTCACATTGCTCTGCATTCTGGTACCTTTGGAACTTCGCCTCATGGCTTTCTTCCATGTTCTCGTCAGAGGAAGTCATAGGGCTGGGTGGAGTTCTGAGTGCAACTCCAATTCCACGGGCCAGCTCCACCACATTCTCGAACCTCTCAAGCTCGAGCAGCTTCACCACATGGTGGAAGATTTGCCCATGGGTTGCAGCAAGGAGCTCACGCTCTACCACCCCATAGCCGTGGGTAGGAGAGTCAACATCCTCGTCCAGCTCATTCTCACCTGTGAGTGAGTTCTGTATGCGCCTCTTCTGACTCGGTGTAGCCTCCAAAAGTTCTGCAAAGCGCTTCTGAAGCCACTCCCTTGACTGGGTGTACTTCCTGATTCTTCCATAGTTGTTGTCTCGCTTTGCTCTTGCAAGTCTGCCCAGCACACGGGCATATGTCAACGTCAGCAACCCCTCCAACGTGTTGGTCTCGTGCGTGACCGCCGGTCCAACTGCAAGTGCAGTTGGTGTAGGAGGCGGCGTTGCCACTGGTCGCAGGAACGGGCTGCGCAACATCCACCATGTATATGCTGCAAGCAACAACGTCCACATGGTCAAAACCAGAAATGCAAATGGATTACTTCCATCATCTTTCTGAGCAGCTTCACTTGTGTCAACTCCCAAGCATCCTCCAAGGCCAATAGTCATAGATCCTTGCAATGCGATCATAGCCTTGTGCGCTGTCACCAATCTCCTCTTTCTTGATTCTTTTGGTTCATCCACTGCATGCGTAGGACTCCATTCATCTGAAGAGATGTCAGACACTACATTCAGCATATCTGTTGCCTGCTGCCTGGTGTCATCGTCAGAGCCCATCACATGATCAAATAGATCCACCAACAGCGTCATGCGTTGTGTGTAGGCCAACGCTCTGCTGTTGTTTCCATTGGAGATTGAGTCTTCACGTCTGCGAAAGCATCTCTCAAACATCCATGAAATCAAAGCTTCAGGACTGAATGCAGGAAAGTCTGGTAGACCATCATTGCTAGATTCAGTCTCGGCCTCACTGCAGGACATTTCCACAGAAGTCAAATCATCATCGCTTGCGCTGGTCAAAACTTCGTTGTGCACCTGCTGTCCATTGCACATCCATAGGAACACCATGTACAAGGTCAGCAAGGTGATCCAGCTCGTGACAATTGTTGCCTGCATTGTCACTCCTTGAAAATTGCAGTCCATGGCTCTACTTGGAACGTCCGATTCGCAACCCTGAAGAAGTAAGCTCAAGGCGCCGATCAACATGTTGATCTGATATCTGGAAGCGCTGTTCTGTTGAGGTTGAGGAACATTTCTGAAAATTCGACCTGGGTCATGTTGTCCCACAAGGTTGTTGTTTGCACTGTCCCAGATACCAAACAAATACAACAATGATTCCAATCTGCTGATGCTGAGTCTTTTCGTGGCTATATCAGATGGATTGATTGCTCCTAAGACTGCTTTAACCATCAACAGTTTTTCACCAACTAAGTTTTGAAGCCAAAGGACTCGACAACTGAGATGTCGCAAACGACCAACTCCACGTCTTGATAGAATTCCACGTGCTGCTGACGAATCGATGTACAAACACATGAGAATGGTTGACTGAAGTACCCATGAAATGATGGCTCTGATGAGAATTGCGTCCATCACCGCGCTGGCTGCTGCATATGTTTCTGACTCTGCGCTGGAAAGTGACACAATCTTCTGTGTTCGGCTGGAGGAGTAGACCAAGCAACCTCCAAAGAAAATGGCAGATCCTGACACTGATCGTCGAGTATCACGGTCTGATGCCCAATCTGCATCACTGAACACTTCCAGCACTGGTTCCTCACACTCATAGTCTTTGATGAGTCCAGAATGGATACCCTTCCATCTGAGAGAAACATGTTGGTCTGCATGACCAGCCAGATATCCAACCAGGTGCTTCAGCACAACCATCGTTTTCTGTGTTGGCTTCGATGAGAACGTTGAAAGATATCTAATCACATACTGACACTGTGGAAGGTCAGGTGAAAGATAAAGCAAAATCCCCACGCATGAACGGTAAATTGATCCATCATGAGCGCTCAGCTCTTCTGTCTTGTCAGGGATCTCAATCTCTGAATGTCCAGGCGATTTCTTGTTCTGCAAACGCTTTGAAAGTTGCAACAACTTGCAAAGTTGGTCCAGGTGCTTTCCATGGATCTTCACCACCATGCGTCCAGATTCTAAAAGTTGGTGGGTGCGCTTGAGAAAAGTCAGTTCATCACCAACGTTGGACATAATCTCGATGGAAACTTCATACCTTGATTGCATGTGTGGGATCAGCTGTTCTGTAATTGCTTTGCGTGACCCAACCACCAAAAGGTCATCCACGTGAATCATCAGCAAGCAATCACCAAGTTTGGAACGTAAGATGGATGGATAAGCTTCAAATTCCTCCATTCCAAGGGTGCTTTCACCAACAAACTTAACCAAATCTCGATGCCACAGAAGGCTGCCATCACGCTGACCCGGGAGAACTCGACCTAAGCTGTATGAAACGCTTTTCCCTGAGGCATCTGTGCAACGTACACGTGTTGGCTGTTCCTGCTTCACTGTCAAGAAAGCGTCTTTGACGTCAATGGCCAACATCATCGTGTCTTGATGCTCTCGCAGGGCCAAAAAGCAAATGGGCAAGATGCGGCTGGCAATGTTCGAAGTAGCCGGTGAGAAAAGTGCTTCTCTGTCAGGCTGCAACCATGTGTACTCCCTTGCAACCAAACGACTACGACGTAACCAGATAGCATTGCCTTCCTTGTCCTTCTTCTCTCTCCAGGTACGCACAAAGCGTGTGCTCAAGCTCTTGGCATCATGAGGCAAATTGTCCTCCTGCAAGACTTGAAGACCAGATAGCCTTTCGACCTCCACTTGATCTGCAATGCTGTCCAAACGCTGAAGCTCATCTGCACTGAGTTCAGGCTCTTGAGGACTGTATGGAAAACTGAGCTCATCTAAGTTGGGTCCCTCATCATCCATGGTCTCATAGGGATCCTCGTTGAGATTCAATTCATGCTGAATCATCGTGTCAACTTCATCAATCTCAAGGTTGACATCAGGTTCAATGTCAAGGTGCTCAATCTTCAAAATCTGCCCCAAAAGTCCAAGATGTCCAGTGTCATCGCGCTTGGCAGCTTTGCTGACAGGCTGCATACTTTCAAAAGAAGCGTCATCCAAAACTTCAATTGCTGCTTCTGACTGTGGCGTTTGTGGAACAACATCTCCATGAGCTGAAGAAGCTTCCACTGCTGTTGCATGAAAACGTTTTGGATCACCACCAGTCACTTCATGTTGTGTGTCGTGTTTGCCAGTGGATTGTGAGGAAGTTTCACCATAGACGGGGGTCTGAGGTACATCCACATTCATAGATTGGGCCTTTGAGTCACGCTTTGCTGCTGCTATGGCCTCATCCAAACCTTCATCATTGAAGATGGGATCTTGTTCACCATCATGCGGCTGCTGAGCTTGACCAAGCAGCCCCGCCTCGGCAGAGATTGCAGTTTCGTCAACATCCTCAAAAGGGTGTGCTCTGGCATACTCTTGAACATCCTTTGCATCTCTGTCTGGCAGTCGAAGGCTGTTGTCAAACGCAACTGCAGGTGGTGGAACAACGCGTTTTGCATGGACAAGTCTGTGCCCCAAACTTGCACATCCATAATTCCAAGGTGAGGCTGTAAGTTCTCCAAGCAACTCCAAATCAAAGGAAGTTGGCAATCTTCTGATGCTGCGTGTAAGAAAAATTCCGTTTGGAGTTCCAATAATGTGAGAGTCATTTGAAATAGCTTTGCTAAGCCACACACCACGCGTCCATTGAGGTAAACCCTTTTGGCTGGTGCGAAGGAATCCCATCACTGCCTCCCCAAACATCGCCATCTTTCCACTGTAAAATCGTCCACAAGCACGCTCATATGCAGTTGTAGCACTCTTCACTGTGAAGTGATTATGCAACCATGACGAATGAACAATGGCCCATGTGTAAACCGGGTGACGACATCCAAAGATTGGCTCTTTGCATCCAGTTTCCCATTCAATCTGAGATACCAGCAAGTTGGCTTTGGCTCTGATCACCTCCACCATTGCCTCTGCTGCGCCGTTTGCCCTGCGGTCTCCTGTTGGAGCAGGTTCAGCATGGGCTGTGATCCTCAACGTTGCACATGCTTTTCGAACTGCTTCAAGCAAAGAAAGAGTTGATGGTTCTGAATCACAACGCAAACCAATTTCAGCGTGACCACAATGGACAATGAAGCGGCACATCTCAGTGACAAGGTAATTGAGGCTTCTGCCACCCTGCTGTTGTGTTGGCAGGGCAATGCACATTCCAGTGTCACGGTCAGTCACAATCAGCACTGTCAACTTGTCTGACTCATCACGCATTCGAGAGCAGTAAAAGAAATCAAATGACACAACGCTATGGTCAGTTGTTTCATGAGTCTGTCTCTTGTGACCATCTTGCTTTGCGCGGTGAGCAACACACAAAGGACACCATGTTTCATAAGGCTCATGCACCAAGTTGTGGGCTTGTTTCATGGACTCCGTGGGCTCAACAGGTTTCTTCTGAGGGATTGCAACACGTTCTGAATCCTTTTTGAGGGTAGCCTCCACTGCATGGGCTTCCATGAGCTCACGAGTCTTCACAAACTCCAACATGCGACGCATACATTCCTTTTTGGAACCACGCTTTGACAAACCCAAAACTTCACATCCAGCTCGAAGAGCTTTCAAAGTGTTGTCACAACTGAGCACCACTCCATCAACTGTCACTGTACTCTCATCTGCAAATGGCACAACGCGTTCCTCATCCAACGGCTCTGCATCAGGCAATTCAGCTGGGACCTCTTGCACAGGTTGTGGGGCATGTTCCTGTTCACCTGTGTCACCATCACCAGGTTCTCCAACCAAGACGTCTGCGTCAAAATGGGGTGCCTGTTCTCCATCTACCAAAGCAAAACCAAGCTGTTCTGAAGCAACGTTGTGGGCATGCGCAATTGTGAGAACTTCCACCACAGATTCTGGGTCATAAATCTCACCTTCCAAGTCTTCCAATTCTGAAATTGGTTCTCCAAATTCAAGCAACTCCCAACCTTGAGCATCTCGAAACACCAACGTTGTTCTGTACCACATCATCTCACCTCCAGGGCAAAGTGTAGTATCCACAAACCTTGCACGTCGAGTGGTCAATGCATAGACCTGTGGATTCACTTTGTTCCATCCAGGGAGCAAACGTCTCAACACTGGCTGCAAATGGATTGCTCTCAAGGCCTTTGGTCCTGGAGCTGTTGAAGTTGGACTCAAACCATCGTCCTCAGAGATCATTCGAATGGAACCTTTCACACAAAGTGAGTTGCGCTTGAAGCTCACGTTGACAAACTTGCCATTCTTCACAAGAAAAACTCCATCACTGAAATGCTGAATCTCCCAGCCTGCTCGAACTATGTGACCAAGTGCAAGCAAAGGACAACTGATGTTTGCAATAATGAAACGTTCACGCAAAATCACTCCATTGCCAAGGTCAACAGTTGCAAGTCTTGTGTCACGTATGTCCAGTTTTCCACCTTGTGCATCAATGAAATCCTGTCCAGCTGTCTCATGTTGACATGATTCACCAACATCAGCGTAAGTCAACGGCAGTGCGCTGGTATCTGCACCTGAGTCCAAAATGATCTCGGCAGAAGAAACACCTGCAAAAGACATCATCCTGACATGGTGCAAACGGTTGGGCTCATCATGCAAAGTTGGTGAACACGTCCAAACATTGTCATCATCACTGCAAGACATGTCAAAATGGGTGACATCTGACTGCTGCAACATTCGAACAAGGTTCTGGCCAGAAGTTTCTGAGTTTGAGAATTCTGTGAGGTCCTCAGTGATCACAGTGCTATCGCTGAAAGCAACACGGTTGACATTCCCAGAAGAACGGTATGTTGAAGAACTGGGTGAATGTTGTGCTGTTCCAACACTACTTGGGCTTGATGCTGCATGTTGAGATGATCCATCAGCTTCAACTTGTCGAACAACACCATTGGCCTTATCAGCCTGAAATTTGCGGCAATCTCGTTTCCAGTGTCCCATGGCACCACAGTAGTTGCATCGGTTAACATCAGCGGTTTTCGACTGTGTTTTCCCACCTCCTTTGGAGGGAGATCCATAACCTTTGCCACTCTGCTGGGATTTTCCCTTGCCTTTGCCACCATCTTTCGATTTGCCTTTGTCTTTTCCTTTCCCTTTCTGTGTTCCTTTGCCTTTCTGTCCCTTTCCTTTGGACTTCCCTTTGACCTGGTTGATCTCCATTGGAACCACACCTGAATCACCAGTCGCATAGGAAGTCACTGAATCAAGGGCTGTACCATTGATGTCAGCCATCACTCTGTCTTTAGACCATGTTGAAGAAATCCTTTCATGAGCAAGAACTTGTTCACGCACTTGTGTGTATGTTGCATCTTCTGTCATTGTCAGCTGTACGTGGCGTTGAACATCTTTTGGCAAAATGCGCACCAACGTGGACAACAAAATGTCAGGAGCAACTTGATGACCTGCACTCTTGGTGTACTCGTCTGACAGTCTTTCCAACAGAAGGATCTGTTCCAGAAGAGTCTTGTCCTTGGTCATCACCGGGAACTGCATCACAGCATTGAGCAAGGCTAAACTGCGGCCTTTGGTGCGTGGCACGTACAAGGCACTCAGTTGCCTCCATGCCTCAAGTCCATTCTGATGCTGCACCTGCCTCAGAATCTTCAATGGCCTATGTTTCAAGATTCCACCCAGGATGAGAAAGAGCTTCCTGGATCTCTCCTTCGACGCTTCCCCGGCTGCAGTCTCATTGAAGGTTACTGTCAAACCAGGATTGTCCTCTATGTGCTTGAAGTCAGGCTCATACGCTGGGTCTGCGAAAAACAACCATTGTCTGAAAGAGAATGCAAAGTCCGACCAAAGTGCTTGATCGTCGGCTGAAGTTGCACAGCCAAATTCCTTTGGGCATTGAACTACTTTGCTGGCCTCTGAGAAACCAGTCTTCGGCTGTCTCGACTGCTCATTGGCCTCCTTCAAGGCTATGGCAGCTTGGGATGCTGCTTCAGCAGCTTTTGCCACCGCTTCCAAGATCTGCGTAGCTTGCGTGCCAGACATGTTCACGGCAGCAACAGCTCACCAAATCCAGTAAAAGCGTTAAAATCCCAATGCCAGAAATCCAAGGTCCAATCCAATCGTTGTCTCAGCTCTGCAGTTGTAAATCAAACCAGTCCAATCTGCACGTCCAGGTCAACCCAAATGCAGTCAATGGTCCAGTAAAATTGCAAAGTCACTTCCAGGTTAGTTCACAGGCAATGATTGCAAGAAAGAACACCAAGGGAATTACTATGGCGCTACCTAAAACCCTTTGCTGCAAGTTCAGCAGCTGGTGGATAGGTTTCAGTCCACCTTCGAGCCCTCACCAGAGAGTTGCCAATCTGGATCCTTGGGCTCCGCTACCATGCGGATTTTCCTTGAGTTGAAAGCGCCTCAAAAGTCTCACCATGTTACACTGCTCGATTTGTGCAGTGTCAAGTGACAAACATGACTGCTATGGCATGTACATGTACTGATGCAAGGTGCGTTACATTTCTGCACAACGGTATCATCCATCAACATCATCAGCCGTCCCGCTCGACAGCACCTTCAATTTTTTTTGCCTCAAGCAATGGTCTTGGTCCAGCCTTAAAACAGGCCTCCAACAACGGGGTAGTGCACGCCTTGGATCCTTTTTTTTCTTCGTTGACCTTACTTGTTCCCTTTTTCTGGCGGCTCGACGTTGCTGGCAACTGAAAGCGAACGCAAACAAAAGGCCATCATGGGGTGTGGCATTGGATACCCCTGACCTGAAGTCTGATGCGCACATGGAAATACAGTATATAGCCTTGACACAATAATTTATATGTGGGATTTGTAATATTTTCAACCACCTCTGGGGACCTATTTCTGGGGCGCCGCCACACAACGCCACACAATTCAAAACGATTGCGCGGCGGTTTTTCTACGCTTACAATAGTTTGCCTTGGGCAAACATGCAAGGAACTGGAATAACGGTGCCTGGGAACCTTGGATGCCGCAAGTGTCGCAAGTTGTAGATCAAAACTCACATTGTGGGAGGTTTATTCAAAGAGCAAAATCTTGCCTTGTGAGAAGGGTAGAGAAGGAAAGTGGAAGGTCAACATGGCTAACCATGCAACAATGCTTCAAATGAAAGCCATTCTCTTTAGCAGGATCTCAAGATATCAGGAATATGCCTTTATCAAAAACGGTATTTTATGGTTCTGAGTTTGATATCTCACAGCTACTAGGCACTGCAGGTCAATTGAGCAGCCCAACTAAGCATGGTTGTCTTCATGGAATGAAGGGTGAATGACTCGATTTGATCAGCGGTCATACCCAATTTAGGGGTGCTTGAAATACAATGCCGCAAAGTTTTGAGGCTTTGACCATACGACATAGGGCTGACTAATTTATCATTTTCAAGCAGCATAAAAAGGCTATCTGGAATGTCATCAATGGAATCTTTTAGAGATAACCATAACTAATCGAGAAGGGAAAGCCAAATGGTGAGCCAACTAGATTCAGGGTCATTTAAGGATGAAAGGAACCCATGGTGAGCGATGCCAAAAGGCATTCCTGACCTGCATGTTTTTGTGCGGAACGAAATGCCACGCACGGATGCTTGATCAATGATCATATCACTCCATCGGACATGAGAGGCGTCTGCAAATCTGAGCGATGCCCACACGCAGCATAAAGCTGCACCGACAAAAATTCGAAATTGCAAGGATTCCCAACCATTTATGATGCAACGCTCCCAAAAAAATAACACTGCAAGTGGCAAAGGCAAGCTCTCCTTTCGTTAATGTTCAGCGAAAGTTAGGGCTGATATGGGGCCTGAATACAAATCGGGAAAAGGCAGTTGCAGCAATTTGACACACCAACGCAGGGCTTTGATGCAACTCAATGCAGAAGAGCCTGTCTTAAATTCAGGATCATCTGAATGTAGTCTATCATGGTAATTCCAAAGAATCTCTATGACCTGAGGCATGGTGAGTGACGCTAGGCATAATAACTGATCCAATGCAGCCTGAAAAAATTGCAAGACTTGCGGCAGGTATTTCAAAAGAGTTGTGTCAGCAAAAGGTTCAATCATCTTTTGCAGCATCAGTGTTTCACATGGATAGCCTTGCAATTCCACGAGATGCGGGCTAATATGGCTCACAATTGTACACAATTGCAACCAAAGGACTAAGGCTTTAGACCTATTGTGGGAAGCTTTAGCAGCATTAGTGGTAAAATTAGACGATGGCGAATGCATCACAACTGGCCTGTGCTGACATGGTCTGGCAACGCTGCTTGATGTAGGAAACGTCGGTGCGTTCCCAAAACCTGCATGCATTGGTGCAGATGGTCGCGAGCTGGGGTAGGGCAAACTACGGATGTTAGATTGAAAAACTGGTCGCTGCAATGGCATGGATTGCAATGCCGTTACTGGCGATCTAGGTCCAAAGCTTGGTGCAGGCAATGCTGGATCTTGCGAAACAAAGTGATGAGGTCGAACTTGGCTAATAGGATTACAATCATCCAATCTTCGAAGGCTCAATACCCGATTATGAGCAGGGGTGGGATTCTCAGGCCTAGGGATAAAAGCAGGCTTTGGGAACTCTGGAACATGTGCTGGGTCAAAACGCTTATAGCGTTTGACATAAATCCTCTGCTCTGCCATGGCTCGAATCTGCTAGAAGGTGAGGTGCAAAATGAAAGCTGTTGGAAAAGGAATCCAAGCAAGACAAAATTAACAACAAGAATTAAACGCATAAAATGAGCCAATGAAAGTGCAGAAACATAGAGAAGCATTGAAGCTGAATAGATAGTTTCTTCCGATTTCAGCATACAACCAGTGCGCCAAAGCATGGAACACCTGGGCCATTGCATGGCATGGAACTGACTGTTGGCACCTGCCAAAACTGTGAGCTGAATAGATAGTTTCTTCCACCCCCGCTATGCTATGCTGCAAGTGCTGTGAGCTTTGAACCAAAAGAGTTCAAACATCAAACATCAAAACAACGTGAACAAGTACACAAGTAATTCTCCTCTTCTCCAAGGATACCCTGTCAACTATGAGTTGAAGGTTTTTCGGCCCTATATAAGGTTGTGTCCAACTTCCATGTGCGAAGTTTCATGCCAATCACAAGCCGGGCTGAACCACCATTGGATGACCTCGTCCATCTGGCAAAGATCATCTAATGCACTGCTCGGATCTGCTCGGTAAGTGTTTTATAGGATTGGCCCTGGTCAAGTACTTTCCGAACCACTTATATACTGAGTACACGTACTGAGTTGGATGATGCCTTCAAAGTGATTCACACCAGGGAAGGATGGTTGTAAAAGGCAATAATTTGGCACAACGGCTCAGCATGATTCAGCATGACCGTTTGGCCATTGGACATTGTAGCAACCGTCAAAGCAGAAAAGTAAAATCACAATTTGAAAAATGCTCTTTTCATGGTGATTACTATTATCATTAGCAAGGGTTCAGACTGGTAATTCACCCAGCTGAAGTTGTGCAGGTCACAAGGAACCTCTGGCAGAAAATTGTTTTTGCAGTAACCTGCCGGGCGGCTCAAATCCTCCATGT